GATGTGTTAGTGTATTATATTGTCTCTCATTTTGTAATCTTCAAGTCTCTCTTCTCTTCTCGTTTATTTTCTTCTAAAAATTTAACTCAATTTTCAGATTTAAAAAAAATACTTTACAAGCAAATTTCGTCATATAATTTAATAAAATCCAAATTCAATTTTTGTGAAAGTTTTTCCGAAATACACAAAACTTTAGAGAAATTAGACAAGTAAAGTTCATTCGCCAAGATTCAAATATCAGGGATTACCACAGAAATTGCTTCTCATCGATTTTTTTTTCTAAGAATATTTAATAAAACTCTACAGTTACAGGTATGTGTAGTAATTCAATTTCATAAATTCCAAATATTACTTTATAAAATATCATACGTAGTTCTCAAATTGCAAACTGCGTGTGGAAAGACATTAATAAACAATAAATAAGCAGTTGCATACCTCTAGCATTTCGAAATAGGAAAATTCATATTTTCAAATCCTTCCTATAACCCTGACCCCAAATGGAGAACTACTAATTTAAACAATGACGGTTGTTTTTACTCAAATCTTGCATTATTGCATTGGTGGCAGGGGCTTTGTAAATAAGATATGGCAATTCCATTATACTCGTCTGTTTCTGTCGAAGGAACGCGCAAGTGGGTGTCATCGGATATGTTGCCTTCCAACGAACTAATGAAAGAAAAACGGTACATACTAGTCTGGCGTTCTATCAATGCAATCTATGCGTGGAACAATTCATAGCTCATTGACTTACGCAGCCAAGAAAAATAATGTGACGTTGGTAATTTTTGCCTTGTTTACAATAACTTCTCCGTCCAAACCAGACGCCAGAGACATAACATCGGCTTAATCACGGTTCTATGTGAAGTATATAATTGACCTTTCTTCATCTTATTCGGTATCTTCCTATGATCCGAACCTAAGCTAAAGAAGGCTACAAGGAAACTAAAGAAGGAAACGTTATGCCGAACTAACCCAAGCTAAGTTCGTAAAGGAGGCTTGATTGTGCTCGTACGGCCTTAGCATAGGTAAGATCTTTATGTGGACGCGACTGAGATGTGCTTCAGTTGGAGACTGCATATTTAATGCACTGACTTGTAACTTATATGCACCATGGTTGAAGATTGCCTTTATCGTTAGAAAGTTATTACTTTTTATTTATTTCAAAAATGTCTGTGGTCCATTTGGGATTCGTTTTTCACTCTGAAATTTTGCATGCTTACATCATTATGTAAATATTGCGCACCGTGTGGTGGCTCTGTGATTGCACCTCAGCGATTTGGCGGCCAGTCGAGGTCGGAAAAACTATACCGGTAGGCTGCTGTAAAAGATTTGATATCGGTGCTACTTTATTTTGGCTTTCGTGTTCATATATTTGACCATAGCTTTTTGTTTGTATTGCAGTGAATTACTTCCAATGATAAAGCCAGGTGAATATGATACCTGGGTTGTGACTTTGGACACGATGGAATATTTATTAGGACTGATGATTGTATACAATTAACTAAAGAAAATACTGAATGGAAAACAGGAGAACGCAACGGCTATGGAATGGATGAAGATTGCGTTCATTTTTACGTCGCTGACAATTCGTAGAAGTTGAATAATATGAAATGTAGTATACCAATAAAATACCTTTGCGAGAAGAGAATTTGAAAAAGGTTTCGACCATCGTTGTTAAGGCGGAGTCGAAATTTTGAATATCCGTACCAGGGATGACCAAAACTGAATATTTTACTACTTCGAATACAATCTGAAAAAATATTATTGAATATGAAATATCGAACACATTTATCGAATAAACTTATTATTTTTATCTGGAATTACAGAACCAAACGATTTCAAATTTAAATAATAAGGAAAGAAGTCACAAGAAGTGTATTTATTTATTTATTTATTTATTATTTTTTTCAATTTTTCCGGAGTTTTCGGGAGTATGGAAACTGATATTTGACGTTTTATTTTAATTAAAAGGGGATGTTCTATGTTAATTCATAACATGTGTACTTCTTATAAAAAAGAAACATTGGATATTGACAAATATATCATAAATTACAAATTTGATTACTTGATGCTTTCAGAAAAAATGCACAATTTGTAAACATCGATTTTAAATGATAATAATTGAGACGAAACGGCAAATATTGAAATATTAGCACGAAATAAATGTTTTTAAGATGAAGTGGTATTCACTGTAGTATTACAAAGAAGTGTTAAGGAGTAAAATTCAAAAATTTGTGTTTTTTCATTTTCCAACGATATTATCTTTGTTAAGATTAAAGCCGATTTGTGGTGACTTGGCGATAAGTTCTCTATCAAACATTCGTACTCTAGGTTTTATTCAACTTCAAAAAGAACTTATGTCTAAATCGGGATTCCAACGTCTTTTTTTTGAAGGTCGCAATTAAAATAAATTTCAACTGAAGAACTAAGCTTTTATTATTCAAAGTAACCCGAAAATATTTTAAAGAAGTGTTTTAATGACAATTAATACAATTTTAACAATTGATAGTTTGGATTTTTTGAATAGACTTCGAAAAATCTAAATTTTTTATGTAGTTGTAAAAAAATTCCACAACTATCTCCAAGAGAGCCCGTCATGCGCACAAAATGGATTGGTTATCCTTGGTCCAAATAATATAGCAATAACGATAAAGTTGAATCGATCACCTCACCACGCAGATGCGCTAATAAAGCAGTGATTCAGTGAAAAATATTGGTTAGATTTGATCTTGCCCGCCTTATTTTGGACGATTATATTTTTTTTATTTCGGATATTTACGTTCCATTAACGTATTTTCAACGTGTTTTTAAATAATACACACTTTTGCCCTACTATAAGTTATTTGAAGCATATTGTTAGCTAGTTATGTTTGAGGTGGGGCGCGAAACTTGTCAAATTTTTAAAATGGGGCGCAGCTTAAAAAGAGTGAGAACTACTGTAATAGAACAATATCAAATAGCTATACCTATCAACAGTTTCAGTACCAAGCTGATACAGATTACCACATTATTGTTTGTGATGAATCAGAACAGAAAAAAGTGTTTGGCACTTTAATTTTGGTTTGTAAATAAAAGTGCCCGCTAATTCTTTTTTTAACAGTTGTGTGCAACCAATCACGAGATTTATAACAACAGAATCGATTATTTTCAAGCACTTGCCTCGCATATATATTTCAAGTCTTTGTTGCACGATTACGTCGTTCGACTGCCTTATATGAGGCCAACAATGTACACAATCTTTATCACCTCCCGAATTACTTGGCTGTTCTGCGTACCAATCCGTGTTATCTTCAGTTGAAACTTCGCCATCAGCCCAGATGAATTTACCTTCATGTTTGCTTAAACCAACCCAAGTGTGCTCGTTGCCAACTGTGATCAATGACATTAATTCGCTGCAACAAAAATAACAACATATTAACATAGTTCATTTGATTATTTCGGCTATTTCATCTTTCATACGCATATACGCAGAGATATAAAGCAAGCTGAAGTAGATATATTTGGCGTAACCTAAACTAATAGTAGCACAATAATATAACATCCTACTTTTGCCACTTGGTACAACACCAGAATTAATGTAATTGTAAGTAATGAGATGTTTGATTTTATTCACAAGCTAGCTGTTAGTTAGGGAATTGTAACTTCATGGAAATAGATCATGCAACGCAAAGAGATTGGAATAATCTCACCTGATTGAACTAAATTAAATTTGTTTCGCGGGCAGCACAGCATTGAATATTGGCACCTCACCGCGGGTTGCACAATTTGTTTTTGTAGGCTACATTTTGCCCGTGGGACACAGACTGCACAACTATGATTTAGTCGAAAGGTTTGGACACTAGCTCACGGCACTCACCATAAGTCTTATCTCCCATAAATATAACGAAAAAATGAAATTTGAAAATAACTTTTGGCTCCAGAAAATACCGATTCACTTGCGCAAAGACATAGAGCAAGTTAACCTAAATAGACTCTCGTAACCCCACTTGATATTTAGAAAATATTCAAGTTTAAATACTCCAATCACCTGAGGACGGTAGGGTTTCTAAAGCCCGCAGATGCCAGATCCGCTCCTTGTTTCTGGCAGTTAGATTTTGCTGTTGCGTAATTGACTCGATCATTGAATAATTTGTAGTAAAAGCCGTGGCTTGCTTGGTACCAGCCTTTGAATTCTGTTTAAAAGACGAATAAAGAACCATAATATGTAGATGTTTCTTTTATTGATATTATTTGTCTCAGCGATGGGTGCAACGTGCTAAGAGAAGGAACACGTCGTTGAATCACTAATTCAAATTCCGTGGGGACGATTCATTGCGAGAAGAGTGCGGGACTCTTTGGCATCGTTTGATAGCTAACGCACCGGTAAGACTTCCTCCTACAAGTCCATGTATCAAAAACGACCAACTTGTTGACTATTCCTACTATTGAAAACTTTCTACCCGGCCCGATCCAGGCCCGTGAGTATCAAACCCGACTCAGCCCGAGCCCGACTAATTAACTGGATTTGCAATGCCCGAGCCCGAAGAAAAACCCGAAATTTCATATTTTATTTAGGAGTTTTTTGAATTGTCGTTGCAAGAGTTTAGTTCAGTATGTGTCATGTTGATGAGTATCCACAAAGAGTTTTAGTATATATTTTAATAAACATGTACTTATTTAAAAAAAAAATTAGCGATAAAGAAGTCCGGCAGACCCGAACGTGATGATTGGCATTTCAGGCCCGACGCGGCCGATTTAACATTTTCACGATTCGACTTCTTAATAAAATATATTGAAAACAGGCTCTAAATGAGATCAATTTAAAATGAGATAAATAGTTCTCCTTTTGCTTTGACACTTTTTCTCAGTTGTTCCAGAACATCTGTAAATAAAAGTGGAAGTTTGAGTTAGTAAAATTTGAGATTGTTTATTTTTTATTGTCAAGTCACAATGGCCTAATTTTATTAGTGAGCGAATCAGAAATCACCCAAAAAATCACAAGACATAAATTTTAGGAAGCAAGGAGGATGTTTGTGAGTGATTGGGTTTGGATTTGCAGTGATAATGAAACACTTTTGGCACCAAGAACGAAGAAAACTTATAAAACTTAATGCAAACGCGAGTTAAGTTAAACGTTTATTGGTCACGATCAAACAGTGTATAAATAACAACACGTTTTCAAGTAAGGCAAACGATAATTTGGAAACCCCTAAAATGCTGTTGGTATCGAGGCATGTGAGCTGTCGCGTTCTGCTAATTGTAATTGACAAACAATGTGAACATCGAAAATTACCTGTGTATTTACAAATAAAACTGGCCGGGTTTTGAAACGCGTCTCGTAGCATAATTTCAATGTGATTATGACATCACAATTGTATTTTAACTTTTTTGCATTGTATTCAAATTATTTATAATAGCATATCGTGAGTTTTTGATGTTTGATGTCATGGAAAACGGCAACCCGAATACCCAATCGATTGCAAAGTTGGAGGGTTCAAAAATTTTGACCCAATCAAATAAAGATCCGTTGCTGTTGTTTTTTCTACGTAGAGCAAGCGTGGAAATTAAGCAATATTCACATGGTAACGAACCGAGTCAACATTTACAAACTGGAAACACGAGCGCGAAAACCAAGTTCAACAAAAAAAATGGAACTTGTCGTGCGGATAACATTTGTTGTCGTGACGTCGAAGGTCTTGAGACCAATTCCACCGCAGGACAAATGGTAAAAACTGGTTGCGGAAATTTGGTAAGAATTCCAGATGATGGACCAGGTACATCCGGGAACCTAAGTTCATTAGATTGTGCTGTAGTGAACAAAATATCCAACAAGTTGAGTACAGATTTGAAAGATAGGGAAATTTCGACACGACATGAACTATCTATGCCTAATGATTATCTGTCAGAAGTACACGAAATGCGTGTAAAATACATAGAATGTCAATCTTAAAACGTCTTGAAAACGAGAAAAGCTCTATGTCAATTGATGTAAATTCCTTCGGAGGTAACGATGCAAATTATGAGACCGTAGATGACAACGAAAACGAATATATCGAAAAATCAAGAAAAAATATTGAAATTTTCGACATGGGAATTCAGAGTATTCGGTTGATAAATCTAGAAAAATTTTATCTCAAGAACGACGTTCCAAAAATGAAAGATCTTTGAAAGATCTTCCTTGCAGAGCTGAAGAATGCTGTACGTTTAATGGCGGTGCAAATCCCAACTTTAAAGTACCTTCCAGAAATGAACTATCGAATATTACAGGCAAATCGCGCTTGAAAAAGAACACCCTTGACTTTGGGTTGACTGATGTTACAACCTCGAAAGAAGAAAACACCAGATCGATTGTGGATCCCGGAAGCAACTACGACTTCAATTATTTACTAGAATTCAGAAGGCATACTGTGAGTGTGATTGAAACTCGATCTAAACTTGAGTTTGCTGAATACGTATACGAATTTGATGATCTGTATCATCTACGACTCGATTAACTTTTAAACATTTAAAATATGCTCTAATGTACACTTTATTTTATTTTACAGTTCCTCAGTATTTCCTCAGTGGTTCCCAAACTTTTTGTACCATCGCTCTCATATAGTACGTTATACAGCTTTATCGCCCCCCGGCACTGCAAAAAAAATTGAAAGTCTGAAACGAATATATTACAGACCAAATAAGAAGACAAATCATATTTTATAGTGATTTTTAATGAGATGGATGAGCTTGGTGTTCTTCAGTGAGTTTTCTATTATATATATCTAAAATTACCCCGTTTACTGATGGTAAGGCGATTTTGTTGTTTTGATAGCAATAGCAACACGGCTGAAAACCCCTCTTTTACCATATCAGAGGTCGGAAATGAAAGAATCCAGGATTCTATTTCCTCAAAAACTGCCGTGTACTATTGCATTTAACTCCCTAAATTTACCCCATTTCACATTGTAATAATGAAAAAAAAATGAATTTTCCAAAACTTATAATGATTTTCGTACATCCCATTCATCCCTACAACCTGATGACCTTCACCAAAATACATGATATATAACGATCTTCGTAAAATTCATTCCCGATTCCTCATCCTACCACGTCCTCCAGTCCGATCACCAGTCCATAGAATTAATCAGCCATTTGTTTTGGATTCGCGGACTCGGATGACCCAGGAGTCGGCAAATTTTACATCGCTCGCGGATAAAAATTTAGGGTTGCTATTCTTTTGCGGATCGCATATATTTTTTGAAAGTTAAAAACGGAACATCGTGCAAAAACTGCGACAATTCGTGAGCTCAACCCCAGCTGTGATAGACTAGGCTAAAATTCTTTACTGGTACTTTTAAAAAACAGAATGGTAAAGTATGGGAAGAGTTTTCCGGGGTCAAAGGTCAGGAAAGGTCCATTCAGTGAAGCTTCCCGGGCCAGATTACTACAGATTTCCTGACCACTGTGATACGCAAACTACCGTACCTTACTTCGAAGACGAGCCCAGCAATCCTTTCGCGTGTGCTCACGTGATACAAACCTACGAAAGCACGCAGAGTACAGCATTCAAGTGCACGATGCGACGAGCAAAAACAGGTTGCGCGAAATCGCCCCCCTATCACCCCCTTCGACTTTTTCGCCCACCGGGGGGCGATATCGCCCACTTTGGGAATCACTGCTCTAATGTACACTTTATTTTATTTTACAGTTCTTCAGTATTTACAATTAGAAGATATTTTCAAAGAAACACAATACATTGTTGCAAAATGTGAAGAAAAATACAAAGACACTTGACAAAAAACTTGGTATTGATTGAAATGAGGAACGGATCACGATTTCTGGGCAGTAACATATTGGTAGTGTTAGGCCGTAGAAACACGTCAACGATGATTTACAAATTTCTCAAGAAACTGTAAATGCGCAATATAATAAGCATTAAAAAAGCCGACAATTGGACAAATTCGAAGTTTGCAATGCATTGGTTCGTTTAAAACTTTGTCGCCAGTTTGCTCGACAACTAACCGCAAATTTTCATATGAAATGCTATAAGCGGATTGTAGAATAAACTGGAAAATGTCGAAAGGTTTTATATTTCTACATGTCATGTTGTAGTAGATTGAAAATCAATGGTCAATAGCAGCAGTGGTTGTCAACCTTTTATGCGTGGTAACGGTAACATTTAATAATATGTACTCGCCGACAGTAAAATATTAAAATTGATAGATCAAGAATTTGTTGTTACGTTTAAATATTCGACAGCGAAGATCTAAGTGAACACTAACAAATGGGGTTATTCTCGATGGGGTAAAAATTTCAACATAGACAATCGTAAAAGAGGCCGAGAAATTGAAATTGAGTTACGAGATGTCTTGCTTCAGTAATTAGTTTTGTGATTATTCCATTGGGTGATCGCCGACGCTAATTTAGATGTTGCTCTTGATGGTTTCACAATATTTTATCATAATAGTTTTAAATTTTAGGACTCGTAATCCAACATGATTTATAACATCAAATACTAAGTCAAAGAAAGATGAATTATATCGAATTAACTCGGAGAGAAAGCTGACAACCTGAATCAGTTCTCCAATTTTGAAATAGAAGGTTGCGATAGAAGTAACTATGACATATCAAATAAAAACAGGAGACACATGGCAAAATAGAACTCAACAACAAAATAACAACGCAAATTAAACTGCAATTTAATCCCATAGTCAAACTTTCGTTGAATGTTGTACACTTCTCTGAAAGACAGATTCTGATTGCAAGGGTTTTTATTGAACCATGGCCGCAATCATCATCGTGCAAATGTTTTCGAAATTTAGATGACGACATAATGACGAAAATAATTAGATAACAAAAAAATTTACATTTGGGCAAACTGAATAATATATGTTGAGTTAATATAGAAACATACAAAGCAAACTTTCATCTATTTAGAATTGGAAAGAATTCTACATTTTGTCCCGAAAAGTGAGATTTCATCGATTAATTGCAGAACATTTTCAACTTAATATTTATAATAAAATTACTGACAAATATCAAATATTAGTATGTTGCTTTGTATTTTCAAACGATAGAGAGTAATTGTTCACAAAAGTCGAAATTCAATACCATTTGAACTTTACTCCTCAAATTTTGAACAATATCCTAAGAAGGAAAATTTCGGCGCTCCAGAAGTATGTGTACCAAAATGGAGATAACTGATTTTGTTCGTCTACTTTACATCAAGTTGGGTAGAGGGACGGCAACCTATGGGTATATCCACTTGGCTAACACAGTCAGTCCCTAAACTCGTAAAACTGTAGAACTAAAATGAGGAAATCCGAAAAAAAAATCTGGCCTAACACTAATCTGGTACACATACTACGGAAGCAACAAAATTTCAATACCAAAACTGTGTCGCTAAATATTTCATGTTCGAAGAATAAAATTGTCAATTTCACTTTTCATTTGTAGCCCACGTAACAAGGTTGTCCAAGTTTTTAAATCTATTTAGAAGTGCTTTTTTGCCAAGATGCATAATTATACTTGTTCAGTTTTCATGTTGTTCTCCATTTTTGTCAATTTTCTTTTGTGGGGTTTCGGCTGCATGTTTGTTTTCTGAAGCACAATGATACGTCGAATAATGAACATTTAGGTAAAGTAAATATATTTATTACTATCATATTACAATACATCAAACTGCAATAGATGAAGCTAATGCTAGAGTTAAACATTGGTATAAAGTAATTGTCATGTTTAACAATGAAGCGATACTCAAAAATATGCACAAGAAAGTCTAACGCAGCACCGGATGCCTATTCGACTTTCACTTAAGTCTCCCCCGAACATAAAAATATTTCAAAACATAGTTTATAACTGTGAAATTGGTATTTACGATTCTTTACTTCGGTTTATTACAAATTTTGCATACTTACTTGCATGAACCCTTTTTCTGAACCAAGCCAAAATATATTTGATAGGTTTGGGAAGAGCGTAATACAACATAGGATTTATCATGCTGTTTATTGGTATGATAATCAGCCCAACAGGAAGATAAGCGTCGTTTGGTATATCTATGCCTTCATAAAAAAATAAATGATTAAAACATTATTCATAATGTTCTTGCAGATAGATAATTTGTAATATATATTACAATTGTCATTGCAATCATCAAAGTAAATTTAAGGCTATGTCTCGCTTTGAAAACTTTATACATAACTCAATTCATTATTCTATTCATACGTATAACCATAATTTTTATATAAATGGGTAATGCTATTAAGCTATATTTCCTCACAGTACATGGCCACAATTGAGTTTTCTCGCGATATAGTTACCAGCAACTTGTAGAAATCCCATGATACAAATTGGCATCCAACACAACAAATCTGTTATGATGATCACGGTAACTTTTTTCTGCATGGATTTTGCCCTTTCCTTTAACTGTTGGTTGGTCAATGCTTTATTTTCTCGAGTTGAATTCCTGTCGGTAATATGAAAACTTTACACTTTTTTATCCGATGAACTCAATTTGGAAACTCAGTAACCAATTTGTTGTTCTTACTTATATATCACAAAATATCCAACTGAAATCACAAAAAAGGCCAAGAAATTGAAGATGAGAAAGATTAGTGAATAACCCCATGCCATATCTTTCATTGGATTCGGAAATACTGTTGGGAGACAAACGGTATGAGTTGAGTAATATCCAAACTTTTGGTCAATATTGAATTTAGGATTTAGTCTTTTGAGCATAGTTTCCAATGCTGACCATGAGTCACTTAATCTGTTAAAAAAACGAAAAGTTAAACATAATATTTCTAAATGCTTATATCAGTTCAAAAATTGTCTTACGTTAATGTATCATTATTTTCAGTTTGTATTGTTGAAATCCATTGATTTAATCCCTTTATTTCGTTTTTGTTGATTATTGAAAAAAATGGATTTTGACTCAACCTGAAATTGTAAACTATTTGTCATTGTCAGAAAATATTTGCACAACATCAGTAGATCGCCTTCTGTAACCCTTGGTGGACATTGATTTTGGATCTCAGTAAAAACAATTTTGTGGAATCCCGACTGAGTAGCTTAAGTTTGAAAAACCCTTTTTCACAGGGTGATTTACAGAAAAGTTCAGATTTTTAATGTATGGTATTTCTTGTCAAGTCTATTATAGAATAACAGTAACAACAATAAAAATTCAAACAAAGAGCTTATCATGGTGGACAAAAACTGTACACTTTCATTAGAAACTGAGGTTCCGACGGAAAGAAAAAATCTACATTTAAGAAATGCCGACCCATAAGGAAATGATAAACAAATAATTCTATTAATAGAGTAACAAATAGATATTACATATATGACAGAGAACATTTTATATTTGTTCCTACAATATTTAACAGAACATTTTGTCATACCATACATTGTCCACAAAGTAGTCTTCAGTAACTGGCAACAACGGAATCACGGCAATTGCAATAGCAAGAGTCCATGACAATACGATAATATGACGAATTGTTCTGAGTCTAACTTCAACAAATGGTCTGAAATATATATTCATATAAACGCACAGCAATAATATAATCAATTTTACTCTGTCATTCACCTCAGAAGAGTATATACTCTAAATCCTGTAATGATTGTGAGAGTAAAAACTGAAGACTCTGTTCCAATCATAAGCAAAGCTCCAATAGCAGAACAGGTAATTCCACTTCTCCATTCTACATCTTCTTTGCAGTACTTACCTTGCATTGTTACACTCTTTACGCATATGGTCATTGTGTATACCTGAGTTAAATCGTATGTTTTAAAAATGTTCAAATATTTACTTAAAATATTCAAGTTGATCTACGCCAACGAGAAAATCAGACGCTGACAGATTCCAAATCAAGATTTTGTTGATCATAGCATTCTTTTTATCTTTCTTCATCTTGAATAACTTGATTATAGAGAAAATAATCACGAACGCATTTCCTGCCAATGTGACGGTACCTGACAAAAAAGTATTTAATAACTGGCAAAGTTATGTTAAACGATAGATTGATATATATATAGGGTTCCATTATCTTTGAACCTATGTACATTTGCACTCAGGTCAATTGCATCTAAATATTTTTGCATCCACGGACATTTGCACCCATGAACAATTACATCAATACATTTGCACCCGCAGATTTTTGCACCCACATACAGATTGCACCTATGAACATTTGCTCTCATGGACATTCGCACCCATGAATATTTGCACTCATGAACATTTCCACCCACGTGCATTTGCACCCACGTACATTTTCGCCCAAAGACATTTGCACCCATGAACTTTCGCACCCACGGACATTTGAACAAATGTACATTTGCACCCACGGACATATGCACCCGGTACATTTGCACCCGCGTACATTTTCACCCAGGTACTTTTACACACGCGTACATTTGCACAAGCGTACATTTGCACCCAGGTACTTTTACACACGCTTACATTTGCACCCACGTACTTTTTTACCCGCGTACATTTACATCCGCTTACAATTGCACCCATCTACTCACTGTAAAAAGAGGTTATATTGCCATTTGCGCCGAAATAGCGACATCCTAATATTATGTATAGTAATGAAGACGAACTCACTGAAAACCCGATTAATTTTGATAATTGATTTGACACTGACTTGATTAATTTATGTACAATCAGTTTCCTTCCCCATCGTCTTCTAACCACCACACATTCAACTACTTTTGCGTCATTTCATCGAAAAAAAAAATGACCGATGAAACTAGGAAAGGATTGTAACTCGCAAGGACAGTGAAAACGTAACGACCCTCATCAAGGATAAGGGCTACTTAGAACTTGTAATCCGTCTTCATTTCGAATATATATTTATAGTTGGTAATTAAAGTTTGTCTGAAACATGGTTATTCGCGATCATGACTATTGGTGCGTTTAAGATGTTTGCGGGTGCAAATGTCCAGACTGCAGTTTGCGGGTGCAAATGTCCGAATGCAAATGTACGTGAATGCAAATGTACTGACGCCGATATATAGATGCCTTCTTGAAGAAGTTTATAAATTATTTCAGACAAAACATTAAGCAAGTTGTATTCACACCTATTTATTATCTTATTCTAGACATTCATAGAAATATTTATTTATTTTCCATATTTTACAGGCTTTAACTTAATACTATGTATGACAAAGAATGTCGACGTACAGTTCAGAATCGATTCTAATTGGAGAGCACGGTCGACAGACAGTAAATTGATGCAAAACGTCGCAGGAATTTACAACGTTTTCAGCTTATATTTGAAAATAGCTATTTTGCAAAAGCAAATTCACAAATTGGACATGATTGGTAACTTACTTTGGCTGATTGCCCCAGATCATTCGAACTGAACTACTTTTGAACTGATTCATGTATGTGCGGAACCGCGCTTCGTTCGATAGACATTACAAAGATTATTACGTTTTAAAAATAATTCTGCGTTTTAAATAATTCTAGGCTTTACAATATACATACATTAAGTAATCAAGAAATAACCTGTATGGTTTGGTTCGTACAATTAGGTTTTATATATATAATATACACTAACTTGTCACCCATACAGTGGCAAGCACAAACTTATTCTTGATCATTGAATTAGTGTCTGAAAATGCACTGACAATGCATTCAGGAAGACATTCGTCTCTACCACTTTTACAATCTTGACTCCCGTCACATATCTGTAAAAATTTATATATTGGTAAAGCAATACTATTTTAGTTGTCACGTCTTTATCAGTATGTGAAGATCAAAACAACTTGGGCATAACGCCAAATGTATATAACTCTATCGGGATCAAGCGATCCGACACCTATATTCCTTACTAAAATACCGTTAACGATTTCGATTTCAAATGAATTACGAATCAACGAATGTCAGGATATTTAGGATATTACAGAATAATCGTTTCTGCATCCAACGTTTGCCCTTTTACTAAGTTTGGGTTTATTGTCTGCTTGGTCAAATCCCATACTGCAAGAAATTGTGTCGTGTCAAAATATTTTTTCATTTACTACCAATTCGAGGAACTCTTCCTCCCTAGCTATTTATTGTTTTAATGGCCTGATACATTTTATCTGCTGGAATCGCGAACTGGAAAATAAATATATATATTAGTGCGCTGATGGATGGTTAGTAACTTTGTCAATTACAAGTTATTAACCATCCATCAGCGCACTAATATATATATTTATTTTATAGTTGAGAGAATATTCAGAAGGGATATTATTGTTGCTACGCCCACAGCTTGGGAACACATGTTTTCTCTAAAATTCCTGCAAATTCCTGTTTTGAAAATATCTCATTTAGATTTCAGAGCTAATCTGAGGTATGTAAAAAGCATACCTCAGTTTGTATTATAATATTTAAGAGTCAAAATGCAATCAAACCTCATTTTTAGAGATGAATTTAACATCTCCTGTGTCATTGCAGTAAAAGTGAGTTGTTTCAGTGCAGTTCATTTCATCGCTAGAATCTTCACAGTCCTGTAATAGCCAACATATCAAAATAAAAGCATTTCGTTTTTCCAATAAATATTTTTGATAACATTATTCGGAATTGTAAGTACCACATGTTATAGGTGTAAGTTGTGCAATCTATTACAGTTAATGTCAGAAGCTCGGAATATGGAAGCGATCCAACTCTATAACCTCGTGTTTTTTCGTGCGAATCAAGAATTAAAATCCCGTTTGAGCAATCACTAACGAAGGCACTCACTACTGATTGGTTCGCGCATAAAAAACACTGATGTACCCGATTGGTACTGATCGTTCTATTCGCGGGAGTGTAGGTTACATCACAATGGGTCCAAGTTTCACTACTCCGTGTACTTGATACTTGGTAAATTTATTGCTCAGAATGAGAGATCAAACAATAGATTTTGATGTTAAGCAATTCGTATCTCTGTTTTCAACCCAAACCTAATTGTGAATTTGAAATGGTCGACAACGAGACGTCTCAGAGCGATGCTAACTATAGATTTAAGCTACGCGACGGACAAAACGATTTGGTGGATAAGGACTCAGATATCGACGTAATTTGTTAGCAAAAAAATTTTCCATCCCAAGGTTGAAAGTGTAATTATCGTCTTTGAGACTTGATGATGTTTTTAAAGTAGCCGATAAAACAAAACAAAATATTTGCAATTATCGTATTATTAACACAAACATAAATTAGTCTCACATACTTTATGAAGGTTGCAGACTTTGTGGTCAGGTACGTTTATTGGGTTATTCCCTTCGCAATTAAATCTTTGAAAATAAAAAAAATAAAATGTGAAAACTTTTTTTTATCAAAGAGAGTTTCGTGGACGGAAGAATGACAAGTTGAAATCAATCTACTTGTTCTGATCTCATTAATCAGTGTGAGAAGTATACATCTCACAAAACTTTTATTATTATTAATACTATTTTTATTCATTAATAGTCGTTTTATTATTATTTTTGGTATGATTTTAGGTCTTCCAATTCGAAACTCCCGTATCTATATTCAATTTGTGGTATATTATAGTGTGCTAAGTACATCAGACCATCTCAGGTGGAGAAAAAATACCATATTTGAAAAAAATATTATCATGTTCGGTTGATTAAACTCAAATTGCTAACTTTAAATTCATAAAATTAATGTTCAAAACTAGACTCAATTACTAGGTGCTAGGTTCACTTCACACGCTCGATATTTAATTTTATTTTAAATTTAATTTGATGTTACTAATAAGCAGAACTCGTGAAATGAAAAACAAAACGTTGCCGCGAGTACATTGATGAGATTGGTCGTCCTCGCATGAAACGTCATACGATGCGAAAATAGTTATTAATTCTTCAATACATATAAGTTTGTGACATACGCCAGAAAGCAATTTAGAAATACTTTACCTTCGTGGACATTTGATTTCTTCTTCTCCTACTTCACAATCAGCTATTCCGTCACATATCTTCCAGGATGGAATTCTCGATTTGCTTGAACATTGATAATACCCTCCAAAAAAATAGTGTTTGCAGAATTCGGGTATCATCAGGCAATCGAGACATTCCTCGCGGTAAAAATATCTGCATTCTATAATTCCATCGCACTTTGTTGTAATTAGTTCTGAAAAGTTTTGATTTATAGAATTTGAGTCAGTATGTACAAATAACAAAAATGTTGAGAAATATATATGACCATCAGAAATAATGAAAGTTTGACAGGTTTGTTTGCAAAGAAAGTTCACAAACATTCCAAAATTTTTCAATGATAAATTACACAAATATTTTCAATGTTTCCTGGTCAAATGACAAAAGGCGTAATTTTCTCTATCTAGAATATCTATCATTATCTACTGTTTTTATTATCACATCAACAATTTTCTTTCCGATAAATTTGCTATAATTCTCAAATTAAGAATTGGGCTAATTTAATGATGAACAGAATTTTTTAGCAGCAAGATATAGTACAGATGTTAACAAAAATATGTGTTTTTTTGGAATCGAACAGACCGATTTAGAAGCTAAATCCCATAAACAACAAAAAATATAGAACTAAAGTAGAGACTATTGATAGAGTTGAAATTATGGTCGTGAACTGAGCCTCACGGTTGATATAAAACAAATATAATTTTTTAATGGTGAGCTTATTCAGTGAATATTTTGAGGCAACACGTGATTGATAAATTGTAATTATTGTAGATCTTATTAAATTAAAAAAAACTATCTGACACATTTTTCGCTCCCATTCGGTTTGAAATATTAATTGAGACTTAAGTTGTATATTGTAATTGTTGTTTCATTCCATATTAATTACTATAATCTTCAATGATTATATATATTCTATAAAATTGTAAAACATACGGTTTCGTAATCCACAACGGATGTTACATTTGTCTGCTGTCTGATCCCACGAGTCATCTGTGTAATGATAACATATGGCAATTAAAATGTCCTCTATTCACAACCTCTAAGGTCATGAAATTAGCCTTAGTGCTGTAAGACCGAGATTTGAATTATTGTAAAATATTTGAAAGAGTGAGAAATCCAAATCTATTGCAAAATATCTGATTAACTATGATATACCAAATAATAGAAAACAAATAAAAATATTTTCGACAGTATTTCTGAAGTAAATTTTGCATAAAAATATTAATAGATCTGATAAAATTCGCGTTACCCGGACAACTTGTGTCTGGACAAAATTTTTCGTCAATTGCTCCCATGCAGTCTGGTCTAAAATATAATTATGATAAATTTTATTCAAATTGAATATACAAATAGATATTTTAGAAAGGTAAAAGGTTAATGTTAGCGTATAGCCTGATGAAACATTCCATAGATTATAGTCGTTTTAGCTGTAGGCTGAGCTCAAAATCAATTTCAATTAAAAAGT